GCCAAAAATTGTTTTATATACAGTATGTCCCATGAGTCCCGTATCACTCTTAATATCTCCATGGGAAATCAATATATTTAAACGCTGTTTTTTTTAAAATACTTAGTCATGAAATTCTGATTGAATGGCAAAAATTCAATTTTATTTTAAAAAAAATTCAAAAATTCAAAAAAAAAATGTATTTAAAAAAGAACTTTCAATTTTTAAGATAGCCATTTTTTTGAGCATATTTATTAAAACAGTTAAAAAAAAAATTAAAATTGAATAAAATGTTATAGTAAGTTATGTTTTTGAATAATTATAATAATAGTTGTTACCTAAATAACAAAATACGAATTGCCCGATTTAATCAATCTAGATTGGAATGCTGATTTTTTATGGCAATCTGTAAATATCTAATTATTAGTGGAGCTTTTAGGAAATATTTATATTAGAATTCAAATAATATTCTTAAACTTGATTGTTAATATAAAAAAAAAAAACCGAATTACATAAAAACGAAAATAATGCATTACATTTTTTTTATAAATTTTCGAAGTGACCTCCATTATTTGTAACACAGAACTAAAGTTTTTGGATGCAAGCGTTTTTAATATTTTCTAATGTCTCAGGTAAAATATTTTGAATATTTTGTTCAATTTTGTCACGGAGATCAGGCAATGAATACGACGGATACACAAGATTTTTAAAATAAAACCATAAAAAAAAAAATCCATTGGTGTTAAGTCGGGCAACCTAGATGGCCAAAGCACTGGATTATTGAAATGTGAAACAATTAATTTTTTTGTTATAATTATTCAAAAACATAACTTGCTCTGACATGGTCAATTTTTATTCAATTTTAAAATATATTTTTTTTAACCGTTTTAAAAAATATGCTCAAGAAAATGGCTATCTTAAAAATTGAAAGTTCTTAAATGCATAAAAATTTTTTTTTTAATTTTTAAAAAAAAAAATTGAATTTTATGCCATTCAATCAGAATTTCCATACTAAGTATTGTAAAAAAAAAACCGCATTTAAATATATTGATTTCCCGTGGAGGTATTAAGGGTGATACGAGACTTATGGGATATCAAGGCCGTAACTGGAAAAAAATTTCGGGGGGTCTAACATTATTATTTAATACAATTTATAGTTAATAAACTATATTTACCGCTAAAATGTTTCTACTTTTGAAAATTTTGGGGGGTCCGGACTCCTGGACCCCCCCAGTTACGGCCTTGTGGGACATACTGTATATTTAATCATAGAACCTCTCATACAAATTTCCTAGATACAAAATCCTTTAGTTCTCATAACATGAAACTATTAAAAAAAAAAAAAAAAATTATATATTATAAATAAAAACAAGTAATTTTAAATTATAAATACTCGTATAGCCACATACATTTTCAGTTGTAATAAATTATGATTACATTTTTTTTTATCAGTGCTCTGTTAAAACCATCACATGTTATATATTATGTTTTGAACTTTTTCAATGCCAATCTATATTTTTTGTTTTGTGTGCAGAATATAGTAATTAAATGAAGTATATAAATAGTATTCATACCCAATAATACCTTAATACGCTACTTCATGGTGGTTTATCTGTATATTTGTGTATTTACTAATTATTTATTTATTATTTTATGTCCTTTACCTATCCGGTTTCAACCGAGTTTGAATGCTTTTTTCTTACTTGTTGTAAGTTTTTCCGTTGTATGTTGTAATATAGAAACTATTATAGTTAAATATATATTATAGTTATGGTTTTAGATAATAACGTTTGATTCGCCAACATATAAAACTATAATTCCATTTACATTTGTAATATTTACCTATTGTATTTACAAGAAAAGTATTTATTATTTACATTATGTTATCTCCTCTCATTTAAATACATACTATATATATATATATACATTAAAATATGAATTCAAATTGTTGGTTAAAGACATTCAAGTATATACGTATCTTGTTGAAAATGTGTTTTTAATAGTTTTATTACTTTTAATGTAGATATAAAGATTAAAGTAGCCAAAAATACTTTTAACGGTTCTAACTAATGCATTTTTCATTTTTATTAATTCATTTGAATTTAAATTATTTAAATATACTCGTTTTTACGATGACAAATAAATGTTTTTCAACTCAATAATTATAACTGCTCTTTTAAAAATAAATTGGCAACTATAATCCCAGAATATATATATCAAATAGTACAATAACATATTTTTAAGTAGAAACATCTAGTAACAAATTAATTTATAAAATTAATTAAATAATGGGAAGAGATATATTGGCATAAATAATTTCAAAAATATTGATAATATCGGATGTGTTGAAATTTAAGATTTGAGAAAATTGTCCTTTGAAATTGATCTATTATTTTAAATATAAATGTTTCATTTAATTTATGATTTGAATTAATTTTATTTAATTTGATTAATTAAAATAAAATGTTTTCCATAAATATAATATTAATTAACTTATGAAAGTAAAAAAAATCAGGAGAAAATAAAATAACTTTACATTTATAACTATAGAAATATGTATGCGAATTTTAACAATTATAATTAATATCTTGTTTAAAATTCATAAAAATTAATAAAATATAATTAAAAAAAAAACTATTTTGCATATAAATAAAGTATGTAAGTTTAAATATAAAATGTGCATACTTTTTTTGACAGACAATTATTATTTACACCTGTATATTTATAATAACGTATATATATATATTAATAAATTTTAATGTATTATTGTCAATATTAATAACAAAAACCCTTGTTTAATAATTATAATACTTAACGAATGCACAATACGCTTTATTGACAAAAATATATAAGTTTTACTTGATACTGTTTAAATATTATAAAATTTAGATTTTATCTTCTGAAGCTTTTAATTTTTTTTAATTTTAAAAATATTTACTAAAAATATAAACTTACATTTTCTATCACGCATATAAGATTAATGGTGCTTCCTTTTCCAACATGATACTCTTCTGTTCCCAAAATTCGAGCTGTTGGTACAATGACTTCCAAATAAAAGTAATGTGATGCAATCCCTGTTCCCATAGCCACCTTAAAAATCAATTATGAAATAATTATTAAGTCGCTGAAAACAAATTTTATGCTTTTTTTTATGTAGTTATATATAATTTATGCAGAATTAATACAAAAGTAGTGTTAAAATAATACTGTTCAACGAAAAATATAAATATAAATTAGTATTTACTTTGGATTAATAAATAAAAGTGAAACAGTTGAATCGGTAAAATTTATTTAAGTTCCATTTTTGGGAAAATACTTTCGAGTTATTGGAGTTGAGTCTGACCAATATTTATTAGGTTCTTGAGTCGATTCCATAAATAATTGCTGATACCAATTTATCGCTTACTGATTTTGAAATCAAATCTCCAAATTAGTTTTTTTGTATATTTGTTTATCTATTCATTGTTCCTTTTCTAATGTTTCTATTGTATTGTTTTGTAATAATTTGTATGTATTTGAATGTATTCCGAAAATCGGAATATGAATTAAAATATTTGGATATCATGAAAGAAAAAATTCATTTAGTTTTGCGTAAAAACTTTCACGATTAGTGTATACTGAAAATTCAATTTTCAAATTAAGACATTTTGGGGTAAAACTGTGCAACATCATTGACAACGTAATTATTAAAATGTAATCTGTAAAATTATCAATTTTTTCGTCATCACATGCTTTTATTACCAACAATTCTTCCATGGAACATTAAACTACGTCATTTACGTTTAAAATCAGAAAAAATACCCCAAAAAAAAATATTTGTGATATCTAATTTTTTCATGATTATACTTGTATTTTTTAGATAGACTCAACTTTTGAATTGTTGACCGTGAACTTTGGCCCAAATGGAATCGACACCCTTTAATTCTAACATAATTCCAAACTTGTTTAATTGCATCGTGAATTCCATTTTAAAAATTTACATGCATTTTTGAAGAAAAAAAAAATACCTATCAAACTTACCAATTTACAATAGTTAATAATATGTTACTTTAACATAAGTATTTAGCCGTTGACGAATAGTACCTTATAATAGTACCTTATCGTTCGTATCCAGTATAAAATGCGAAGTTTTAAATCGTTTTAAATCTGGCTAAGAATATTTTATCTATACGAACTCAATTCGAAGACATTAAGATAATAAAATTGATTTAATTTAACCCGTCAGCAGTCGTGTGTGAGAGCGCGGCACTCACTGGATTACTATGTTTGACAACATTGTCTATTATTTAATTCTTATATTGTTGACATATATTTATACCTTATGTTATCATACCTGGGAATTTTTTGACATGTATATGTCTTATGGCTGGGGGTCATTCTGTTAATTTGTCCCGACACCGAGAATGTTACCATGACGTCATTGGTGCGTTCACGTGTGCGTGTGTGTGTGCGTCGACCGGTGGGGGACTAGTTCCCGGAAATTAGCGATAATACGAACGTTATTGAAATCGCGGTGGCTCGTGATCTATTAGTAACATTATGCCTTGTTTACACGTGACGAGTACTCGGCCGAGAGAGTCAATTCGACCGAGCATTGTCCTGTGTGAACTCAAGGAACCAGTACTCGGCCCAGTAAAATGATCGAGCGAGTGAATAGAAACCGTTTCTATTCACTCGGCCGAGCGACTACAGCTACTACCAAAATCAACTGTACTCGGTGTGTATAAACCGCCAACCGAGTAGATCGTGTAGTGAAATTATGTGTCACTCGGCCAAGCAAATAAAATATGTGTAATTGCTGACTCGGTCAATTTCGGTATTAGACCGAGCAACATAACGAGTGACACGGCCGAGTACTCGTCACATGTAAACAAGGCATTAGGTATAGCCCGTTGTATAATAAATGTATTGACGATAAAAATAACTCGTTGTAAATTATATAACTAACGTTGGTTTTTCAGTACACACCGTTCTTTATTATCCATCACTAAAAGTATTGTAAATGACGATTCTGTAGTTTAAATTAAAAATTTAAATAAAAATTTAGAAAAAATGTATACTCAATAAATAATTCCTGTCTTTGAAACTTGTTTATTTTTTACACGTATTAAAAAAGTTACCTACAGTTTATTCCTCGTCTCCTCGTATCTAACTATATTCAGTAGAAACAAGACATATACATGTACCAATGTATCTATATGTAATGTAGATACTCTTAGTTTTTTTTTTTATATAAATAAAATAACCCAATTCATAATACTGTGTTGAAATGACAATAGATTAAAATTGTCAGTCCCGAAAAAGTGAGCTATTAGTGTATGCATTTTTCTCGCATTTTATTTTTGATTATTTCACGTCATAACGGCTGAAAATATGTAAAATATGATACAGATGTTGAGTTAAACATAAATCCATCTACATCAAGAATAAGTAATACTTTTACTCCGTGTAAAAAGAGTGGCTCGAGACGCAAAATCTATTATTAATTGTTGGAAGATATGTGAGTTATGTAATAACCGTATATGCAAAGAACATACAAGTGCTAGATGTAAATTCTGTCAATCGGGTTCAGAAACAAAATCAGATTCAGAGTAAATACCTGTATATGAATTTTTTAATATAAACAATCTAACAATAAGTAATTACAGTGATCTTATTTAATTATTCATTCAGGAATTCTCACTTACAGTTCAAATAAACACTTTTAGTAGTAAAAATTCGAAAAGTGAGCGCCGCGCTCATACGCGCCTAATCGTATTGTAAATACTAACGCGCCTACTGAAAAGATAAATACATAAAAATAAAAAATGTTTATGATTCAATTAAATGTTATCCAATTAAATATATTTTTTGGTTACTTAGTCGAAAAATAATGTGGTTATTATATAAATTAACAAATATAAGTAAATAGTTACGTATAAATTACCTTTTTTTATTATATTTTGTGTATAAGATAATGTTAGTAGTTCTACTGTTGAATTGATTTATGAATATTTAATTAATTACACTTAAATTATTTAAACTTAATAGACATATTCTTAGGTTAGAAATAACACATTAAAAGTTTTAGTCGCGTCTTTCTAGCTGGATTAATGTTGTTGACTTATATTATTTCTATAGTTGAGTAAAAGCTCTGATTTATGGTTTCCCAAGGGTACGATTCTGAGTTCACTTATATTTAAAAGTAAATTATTTTTCAAAACATCATGATCTGGCTATGATTGTTATATATAAAACCACTGTTAAATAGTAGATTTTATATTTTTTTTGTGAAAATTGATTGTGTATAGTTATAACTACAAAAGAATTTTTTTTAAATTTTTAAAAATATCTCTTACAGTACATTATTACAGTACCAAAATAGTATTAAATTTATTCGTCTTATATTATATTTTTAACAAACAAATACTTAAAATTCACTAAATCTACCAATAAAATATTTTATATTGAAGTTTCATAATTTAGATCGATGAATTTAAGTTAAGTACAGTTAGTTTATTGATAATATAAATATTGAGAAGAATTTATATTGATTTTAAATTAATTGTTGCTTATTTTTATAACCTTTCATATATTTTTCACAAATATTAAGAAAAATATCTGGAAATTCGTAATAGACCCCCAAAGTACCAATTTTAACAAATTTGCTAACAGAAATTTCTTGTATTATATTTATTATCATATATTTTACTTTTTATATTTTATCATCAGTGCAATCATTCCTCATTTTACTAAGATTCATTATATACACAATAATTAAACTAAAGCTTAGATAGTGGTTCCTCGTTAACTTTAGTTTTATAATTTGAAATAAATGAAATATATTTGATATATTTTGCCGGAATAATTTGAGAACCCAAAGCAAAAGAAAGCAGTTATGGTTCAGCAAAAAAAATTGTTATTGCCCGAAAACTATAAAGCATTAAAAGATAACAAATTAAAAATATATAGAACTCAAACGTTATCGAATGATCACATTGGTTTTAAAAAGATAAAAGCGAAAAATCAAAGACATTTTACAGAAATATATTTTAGTTATTAAAACATGAAAACATTAATATGTCTCCTTGAAATATAAAAACTAACAACACTTATAACTGAAATGTTAATATACATAAAACATGATGCTAATCAAGTTTCTTTTCGTATTTTACATTGAATCTGTGATTGACGTAAAAATTAAATATGTTTATTAAAATATATTTATATAAATATTATATATCTATATTATATTCGTATTATACGGCCCGAAAAATTTTTTTTTTCCGTAGTACCACGAGTTTCCTATTAAAATGCATAATATTATAACTTTCTACATAATTTACGGTTTAACAAAATTAATATTACAAAAATATATCATTTCAGTTTGAAATAGTTTATTACATTCGGAGTATATGAATTTTCACTCAATTTTTTTATAAATTCAAAAACATTACAATATAATATAAAAAAATGAATTTTAGAGATTGATAAATAAATGTATATTTACATATAAAAATCCATAAAATATATAATTAACGTTAAAACATATGGAATAATATAAAACATTAAAATTTATATTTATCACTTATTTTAACTATAATTTAGTTGTCAATTTGAATATTAAGGTACAATATGGTTATTTTGAACTTAAAAACACCAAATAATCAAATGTTTACATTTTCCTTTTCAACACTATCGGAAATATACAATATTGGAAGTTCTTACCATTTTTTCAATAATTATTTTTAATAAACCGTTAATTATATATAAAGTTATAATAATATGCATTTGAATAAAAAAAAAAAAAAAAAAAAAACATGATAAAGTAGATAAATTAATTCACGGCCAGGAAACTTTTATGCATAATATTCTTATGAATATATTAAGATTATAAAACTTTGATTTTTAACGTCAGCCACAGTTACAATACAAGATATGGGAAAAACATAATTAGCTTCATGTTTTATACCTGCATGCCAGTTATAAATATTTCTAGGGGTATTGATAGTATATTCATGGATGTTCGCAAACTTCTAAAATATTTGCATAACAATTGGTTCGCATTTACAAATTTTATTAGTAATTGCTTAAGTTTTTATCATTTAACT